CTGGCAGATCGGAGCGGGGAGGGGGGAATCCATCCCCTCCCCTGTCACGGCAGAGAGCCGTGACAGGATCGAGAAGTTAGCGAACACCGGCATGTGTCCGCTCACCTCCCCATCTACTGAGCCGACCTGTGACAGTCTCATTGTCACAGGTCGGCTAGAACTATGAGGTGAGTGAAAAGCACTCACCTCATAGTTCTCCTTTAATACCTGTATGAATTAACCCTTTGGTAGGCACAGGACACGCTTCTACTACAACCCTAGGTATGGGGACCATGACTAATTCAAATGCAAAAATTATCCGTTAAAGCCATTCATGATTTTTTTTTTTCATTACTAGTTTTCCTTTTACACTATCTTCTGAAAATAAAATAGTGACCCTGTTACCACTGGCTCACATTTTCCCACAAGGCCAACCAAGGCCTGGCCTGGGGGCAGCAGGGAGTAGAGGGGTGTGGATTTCCTATCTCCCGATGCCCAGGACATGCAGTTCCAGGCGCCGGGCGGGTAGTTGTTTTCTACATTTAGCACCTGCTTTAGCCAAGCAGAGCTAAATGTACAGCTGGGAAGCCGCCACTTGTTTTGTACAAGTGATATCGGTAATGTTGCAGAGATCACTTGTATGCAGCCTGTGGGTCTGTCATTCTCCATGGGGGGTAGTTGGTGGGTAGGGGGGCGCATTGAGGAACCTGGCCTTGGGGTAGCAGAGAGTAAATCCGGCCCTGCATTTCCCCAATAGGTCACCTGCAAAAGAAGTATGAATATACTTACCCTTCTGGGGCCTGTGTAAAAGCCACCGCATAACTGGTCCCTAGCTGCTGCAAGTATAAAACCGTTGGATGAGTCCAATATTTGCTCCCCCTTGGCAGCTGTGGTTCCTCCCACCAACTCTTATGCTAATACAGAATATGAGACAGCGGGAGAAACCACAGCGGCCAATTAGGGAGCAAGCTTTGTATGCATCCAGAATTGTAGCATACTTGCAATACATGGTCGGTTGGATAGGTAAGTGTATTTATGCATTTGTTACAGGTGACCTCCTGGGTTATAGAAACCTCATGGTGACGGGGTCACCCAAAAACAAAATTTCCATTCCAGCCACTTTTTTTTTTTTTGTTTTGGATCAAGTGGGAAGAATTTACATATTTGTTAAGCCTTCTATTTCAGTCCTTGAATAAACAAAGGACATCTCCTGCCCCTGTGAATGTTTGCCACCAGATAATTTGCTTGTGTCTGTGGGCATTATTCACGTTCATGTAGCAGCAATCTGCATCATTGTGTAGGGAGGAAAGTGAAGATGGATGTGTACATATCACTGTTGTGTAACTTTCCTTTCACCCTCCACCGTTATTCATCACCTCCGGTTATCCACAAGTGTTTGCTTTCACATTGTTCTGCATCGGCCTTTTTACTGCTAAGGGTATGTCACAAGCAGCTATAGGGCTGTTCAGTACAAACATTCATTGTGTCTACAGACATGACGTATTTGGCAACCGGAAAGACATATAAAGCAAAATGCATTTAAAGATATAAAATGGAGCCTAGAATGACTTCATTAACCACTTTGTGTCCAGAGCAATTTTTTCACTTTTGCGCACACATGCTAAAGAAGAATTCCAGGAATGTAAAAACTTACCCATGCAGGGGGGCTACCACAGCTCTGCAAGGTTCTCTAAGGGAGTCAAATAAAGCAGATTTACTCGTCTCTCAACCCCTCCACTCTGGCTGTGGAATGTCCATTGGCATCCTCACGCCTAATGTAAGTCAATGGACCTGCATTAGATGTGATAACATCAGCGGTCCTCAGACTGCCAGAGCCCAGGGAAGAAGAGGCTGGGTGGACCGGTCTAGCAGCTTGGCAGGCTGACCAAGGATCAGGTGAGTATAAAATGCTTAAAATGGTGCGCACCTGTGAAATGGCAAAAAAAAAACTGATACCCACAATTGCCAATAGGTGGCGCTTTAAAACCCTTAAGGTGCCCATACACCTTACAATTATCTGCAGATTTTCTGTGGTCAGATGGAAAAAGTGCAACAGATTGGCCCAGGTGGAGATTACTCCATCCACACAGTTAAGTGTGATTACTCCATCCACACAGTTTCCATCTGACCACAGAAAATCTGCAGATAAATTGTAAGGTGTATGGCCAGCCTTACAACTCATCAATTTAGAGTTAACCGTGGGTGCTGGCCCTGAAATGATTCAAGTGTTCATGGCTGTGTGTGTGGGGGGGGGAGGCGCGCAATCATCATTTTCACATGTTTGCATTTGTATCTACACAGGAGTGATTTTATAAATTTTATATATATAATTACCATTTTTGCTATGACAAATCGGCCCCGATTTGTCAGTCAACTTTTGTCGAAAGAACTGGGTTAAAAGCTGAATAGTGTCTACAGCCAATCAGCTGTAGTCACTAGTCATGTATTCTGACAGCCACGGGTGCTGGCTGTCAGAATATAATAGCTGACAACGGGAATTCCTCCAGGTATGCTGTTTAGCATGGAAGGGGGAATTCAAAGTTGTCTCTCATTCAGCCTGTGGGGCTGAATGAGAAAATGTTTCAAGTTCTATGGCCAGTGAAGGGAGGAAAGCAAATCCATGCAAACTAAAGACAGTCTATGCTCTTTTAAAATCAGGCACCAGTGGTAGCAAAGAAGACACCATGAAGTCACTTGACCACTAGCTGGGCAGCAGCTAATCGGGTGATCTATTAAGGCAAAGGGCAAAAACCAGCAGCCATTCTTTCACTGGGCTCACTTCATCAATGTGGAATCTGGGTACTATGGCCTAGCACCATGCATCTTCATTGCTCCTAACAGTGATTTATTGAATGTGCCAATATAATTCTTAAGGGCAAGAGGGTTACAGCCCGCATCATAAAATGGTATAGTGTTGTAACTTGTCGGTGTTACCACATGTCAGGGAACTAGATCCCACGGGACATGATGGTGTTTGTGAACATCTGGAAAAGTAGTGAGTATCAGGTCGCTCAGACTGTAATGGAAGAAATGTCAAATATGCCAAATTCCTTCTGAAAATACAAGTTGCATGGCTAGTCTCGGTACTTTCAGAATAACAGACCCAGAACAAAAGCATGCAGCTAGCAAAGTCAGGAGCTCTAAAGACGATTTATGTCGAGAACAACTTAATTTAGAACTCCATAGAACTGACTTGCCTACACGTGTCCGAGAGAGTATTGAATCATTGGGGCAAATCGCATTTGCAACAGCCAAGCCATGGCAGACAGCAAAGGTTTCCTTTTAAAATTTAAAGGAGAACTATGGGGTTAAGTCTTTTCCCCATAGTTCTCCTTAGGGTAATGGGAGGACACAAACTAGCGTCCTCCCGTCACCCTAGGCTTAGTATCCCGCGAGCTGCAGCTCGCGGTATACTGAGACGCCGCAGCTGAAGCGGATCCCGACAATTGTGCCGGGATCCGCCCAGCTGCGTGACTGACAGCTGGCTCTGCCTATCTAGAGGCAGAGCCAGCTGTACCCGCCCCCTCCCCGTCCGTTCCGCCAGTCAGCGCTGGCGGATCGGAACAAGGAGGGGGGAATCCAGTCCCTCCCCTGCCACGGCAGAGAGCCATGACAGGATCGAGAGGTGAGCGAACGCCGGTATGTGTTCGCTCACCTTCCGATCTACTGAGCCGACCTGTGACAGTCTCATTGTCACAGGTCGCCTAGAACTATGAGGTGAGTGAAAAGCACTCACCTCATAGTTCTCCTTTAATTTTTAACCAAAACCTTTTTTTTTTAATGTGTGTTTTTGTTTTCAGTTTTGGATATTCGGAGATGGGTAAGAAGCCTATACCAGGTTTTTATTGCTGTGTTCCCATTGGGGAGAGCTAAGGGCCATTGCTACTGAGACCATAAGTTAAGGAGAATCCAAGAACAAGAGGTGAGGGTGGATCTTCCAATGGGGACACCTCTTCTGGTGACAACTGTCTAAGAGGAGATATGCTCTAACTTGTAGAGAATTAATCTCACTTCCTATTACATCTACAGGGCAGAAAGTGTCCCCATCAGGACACAGAGCAAAAAATATATTGAACACATTTGGAGGCTAAATGGATGGCTGGCCAATTTATAAAGTTGCCTATCTGTAAAAGATAGAAGGAATTTGATGTTCTCCAGACTCACATTTACAAACCAGGATTAAACTGTACCTACTGTATGTTTGAGGTTTTTTTTTTTTTATTGTTATTAAAAGTTTTAGTGTATGTTTGAGGTTTTACCGATATGATAAATGGTTTCCCTTTCTTCTGGAACACCTAGCTTTCTCTACCCCCCCTGGGATACACATACTGCATATCCCTCTGCACCATTCAGAGCCAAGTGACAGATTCACCCCTTCCTCCTACTTATACTTGCCTTCGCATGCACTCCCCCACTAAGTTCATCTATTGGCGCCTATGTAAAGCATATGATTCAGCGCTCGGGCCTGAATGGCCAGTCGCCACCTCTGAATAGTCACATGAGGAAGGGGAGAAGACCATTAACCCTGTGTAAGCTCCAACCAGGATAAACTATTGCAGTGGAACAGGACTGCAGGGTAGCATAAGGAGGGTGAGTATTTGCTGGGGTACCAAGCAAGGAAATCTGTCACTTTGACCTTAATGGGTAAAGTAACAGATTCCCTTTTAAAAACCAGGAATGAAACTTGCTATATAAGCTATAACGTGACCACAATAACCACCAAAAGACTTCTGAGTATCGCAGCACCTCTCTGTGTGGATTTTCTGGAGGTCCCGTAGAATGAACTCTGAGTAGTGAGTTAGTTGGCAAGTCTAGTTTCATTGAATGTGTAACATCATTTGAGCAGTACACTCATGGGAGCTTTCACAGGTCAGAAGATTTCTTTTGCTAAATGACCTGAGACGTCCAGATTAGTCTTGCTTACGGTTTCAGCTCTTATGATGTTCACGCTTGCAGAGCTCTTGTGGAGATCATAGGCCTTTTTATTTTGATGAATAACACTCTCTCTCTCTTTCTCACAGATAGCTACACTACTCGATCCCAGTACAGCTCTACGCCAGCTTCCTACAGCTCCCGCTCCCAGGTCCAAGGCTCTGATCAAAGGATATCTGTGAGTACCTGTTGACTGAGAACGATGGGGTGGGGTGACATTATTCACCACTGTTCATACAATGTATGAGTATCCTGTAATATGTTTATAATCCACTGCAAATCCTATCTTTAGTGCGGGCTCTTAGTCATGTTAGAACTAGTGCTTCCACTTTACATTAAATCTGTCTGTTTTTCAGACAAGGTTATTCTATCTAGGAAAAGATAGTTTTTTATCCTAAAATGAATGTCTGCAAGTTGTAACAGGGCACCCACTCGTGGTCACAGCTCAGTACTCCTACCCTAAGGGTCCATTCATACTGTTGCGGCCTGGTGCATTAACAGATACATGTTTAAAGGGCTGCCAAAGCGCTAAACCATGATAAAAAGCAGACATTCATCATTTTTGCAATGCAGCGCTCCCCAATGCACGGCATTGCATTACGATGTGTTACTGTGCTCTGCAACGCAGGTGCGTTGGGATGCCGTTAAGCAGGAATGATGGACTCAAGCTCAGACTTAGCTGGCCAAGGCATACAGGCAAAGCAGACTAATGACTGGGTAATTTCCATATACATTATTTTGAAACCGCCTAATATGGCTAAAGATCAGAACTCTAAATGCATTGTATAGTATTTTTGTATATATTAATAGGACAAAAGTACAGAAGCGTACTGGCATAGTGTCGCAAAATTAGACGTTTAAATAAAATCAAATGCCTTCACAAGTGTGTAGCTTGTATGAAAGCCCAAAACACAGCAGAGGGAGGAAAGTGTCCCCAGCCTTCTGGGGCGCCTTATAGAGGTAAGCCGCTGAGGTGAGATTAAGGATCCTGGGGCCGAAGAGCGTGTGTTTTCGGGGGAAACCTCTTCCCGCTCATCAGAGATTTCCCCAAAACACTTACAGCAGCATCACGAGACTTGTAACACTGGAGGAAACGGAAATGGCTGGGATTGGCGAGACTGCAACTGTACGTTCAGGAACTGTGTGTTCACACAAGCACGCTGTTTCGTCCCAGCATCCTCAATCTCGCCCCAACGGCTTACCACTATAAGGTGCCCCAGAATGCTGGGATATTTTTGGGCTTTCACACAAGCTACCCATTTGTGAGTGTATTTGATTTTATTTATAAACTTTTATTAGTCTAATTTGCTACACTATGTCAGTGCGCTTCTGTACTTTGGTCTATATATATATATATATATATATTCTCCAATATCTTTTTCCTTCTTATATATGAGATCAATGTAGAGAGTTTGGAGTTTTGATGATGCCCTTTACTGGCTAACATAAGTTATTGATGGTGCAAGCTGTCAAAAAATGTGGTCAATTTATTTGTTGGGCATTCGGTAATGCCAGACGATGAAGCCTACCACGTTATATCAAATTAGGGATGTCCCAATGCCACTTTTTTAAGACCAAGTACTTTCCCGTAGGTACTTACTGATACCAATACCTTTTCTTAAAGGGGCATGTGACATTTTTTCTAAAACACAGAATGATGACTTTAGAGCAGGTTCTCACCAAGGCTAAATACAGATGTCCCCACAGCAGAATTTGTCTCACCAGGCTACGTGTCGGTCTCACGCGGGCGACATGTGGACATCTGCAGTGGCTCTGCGGTGCACTCCACCTCACTGGCGATGCTGGGCCCCGGCCTCTTCCACCGAACTTTGGTCTATATATATATATATATATATATTCTCCAATATCTTTTTCCTTCTTATATATGAGATCAATGTAGAGAGTTTGGAGTTTTGATGATGCCCTTTACTGGCTAACATAAGTTATTGATGGTGCAAGCTGTCAAAAAATGTGGTCAATTTATTTGTTGGGCATTCGGTAATGCCAGACGATGAAGCCTACCACGTTATATCAAATTAGGGATGTCCCAATGCCACTTTTTTAAGACCAAGTACTTTCCCGTAGGTACTTACTGATACCAATACCTTTTCTTAAAGGGGCATGTGACATTTTTTCTAAAACACAGAATGATGACTTTAGAGCAGGTTCTCACCAAGGCTAAATACAGATGTCCCCACAGCAGAATTTGTCTCACCAGGCTACGTGTCGGTCTCACGCGGGCGACATGTGGACATCTGCAGTGGCTCTGCGGTGCACTCCACCTCACTGGCGATGCTGGGCCCCGGCCTCTTCCACCGGCAGACTGTCTCCATCGGCCGTCCGGCCGATTGTTGGCAGTCTATCACCGCTGTTCGGCCCCAACCTTCATCTTCTCCAATGGTGGGCCCCGGCCTCCTGACCAGGCCCCCAAATTGACTCCCGGCCCAGTCCTACCCTGTCAGTGTAATCTCAACAGGTCACCGGCACACACAAAGAAGTTTAGATATTAATGTCTCTTTGATGTGTTTATTAACGAGTGTCACAGCATAGTCACTATGTCGCTCTGAGGAAGGGTCCCTGCGAGGTCCAGAAACGCTAGCTTCAGCTTCTAATGACCTGCTGTGACACTCTTTAAAAAAACACATAAACGAGATATTGATATCTGAACTTCTCTTTGTGTGTGCCGGTGACCTATTGAGATTATTCAGAGTTTTGCACGTTGCCATCCGTGACATCACCATGAGCACCACTATCATTGAAACGTTGCAGACAGTAAAGAGTGCAGGTTGTTCTTGGCAACACTCCCCAGTCAGTGGGCCGCGGCCCCCCCCCCCCAAGCTTTGGGCCCTGAGGTGGCCGCTCTGGCTGAACCGCCAGTAGTTGCACCCCAACTGGGGCTGTCCATGGCTGTGCCTGCGCCGTGAAGGAGGAGGAGGAGATGAAGAACCGGAGAGGCACTGCCATGGACAGCTACTTGAAGGTCCCTAGCAGGCTGCAGAGGTCCCCACAAGCGCGAGACCTCTGCAGCCGCTGCGGTTTCAAAATTTAAAGGGCCGGTATCGGCCTTAAGAATCAGGGCATTTTCATGAGTACAAGTACTCGTGAAAATGCCTGGTAGTGGAACTGTATTGTGACATCTCTATTTCAAATGTTTTAATCTTTAATAACTTATTATGTTTGCTCAAATACATCTAAACTTTCCACACTAGTCAGTGACCTGATTGCAGAATTTATTGATTGCACTGTAGTAATTGTTTTATTATGTTATATGACAAACGTGCTGAAAAATCGTAGTTTGCCTCATCAATGCTCCTATAACAGTTTGTATAGCTGTCCTCGTACCTTGGTCCTTTCGTTGAGGTTACATATGTCACAAGGTGAATTAAAACCAGCAGGATGCTGAGCCTATAATGGAAGGAGCAGGCAGAGTAGACAAGTACTGGACCAGTACCCACCATTATAGAAGCTTAGGGGACATGTCATGTGATCCCAAGACAAAGGTCTCCATTACCTGGCAATTTTCAATAGTGCCTCTGGCTGCTGTTCATCATGTGCTGAATGGAGCCATGCATGAAGGCTAAGTCCTATATAAACTTTAGAATTACTTTTGTAATGGACTTTTACTGGGGGTTGTTGACACACAGGCTTTTTGGGATTTCAAAGTAGAAGATTTAACTTGTATAGCGTTATTTATTTTGAATTTTTATTCATTTTTACAGACCAGTCGCTCAGTTGGATATGGTACCCTTGGTGGCATGCGTTCAGGCTACTCTTCTCGCTCTGCTGTGGATGTTGGGGTCACACAGAGAATCAGTGTACCTCCTCCGCAACAACAACAACGATACTCCACCTCCCGCCCCACCTCTTATCATGAAAGGGCCTACCCAGCTCAAAGAGAGTATGATACAATGTCTCTGAGATCAATGCGTATTGGAGATGGTGATGAGCGATATGACCAAAGGGCAAATGCTCAATCCGCTTATTATACTCGTCAGATGTCCTCTGCCAGTGCAGGACCTACAATGCAGAGATCCCTCTCTGGAAACATTGGTCAGGATGGTGGTGGCTCATGGGTTGAGCGAGCGGAGGTAGTACAGACACGGACAATCCGTGCACCTGCCATGCGCACCTTACAACGTTTCCAAAGCAACAACCGCAACCGTGTTGCGACTGGATCATACGGCACCCTGAATTCAGTTGGACCTCAACAGATAAGCCAGTCATCTGGGACGGGCTCTGGATACGTGACGACAATGATTGAACAGACCTCTCGAGCCCCGTCTGTGCGAAGCCTAGCAGAATCTGCGCACCAAGTTCAAGAGCTAAGAGGCATGGATGTTTTCGATGGGAACAAAAGCCTGATGAGTCAGCATTCCTTCACTAGTGGGTACGTTTTTGTCAAAGTAGCAATTCTATATAATTTTTTTTTTTCTTCAAGGCCTTGCATGCTTGTCATAGATGACAGTTGAGATGCAGCATCTTGGACAGCAGGCCACCCCATAGTTCAGGAACCAATGTGCTAAACCATTGCATATTCACTCAGGATGAATTTAAAAAAAAACAGTGGCAGGGAGAAAGAGTAAGTCGGGAACAGATATACACTATATAGCCAAAAGTTTCAACATTTGGCCATGGCTTTTAGGTATGATGAGTAAAAGTATGTCGACTCCACTCCAATCCAAATTAAGTTCAGGTGTTTTCAGTGCAGGGTACTGTTAATTCTATGGCTTAAAAAGATATTTTAAACAATTGCGCGCTTCTATTTTTGTGGCAACTGTTTGGAGGAGGACTTTTTCCTGCCTCAGTTGGCTTGTGTACAACACCAGGTTTATAAAAACCTGTTTTTATGAGTTTGGTGTGGAGAAACTCAAGTGGCCTGCAAAAAAGCCCTGACTACAACCCTACCAAACTGACTTTTTGGTTGAATGGGCAGAAGTACCCTCTAAACTCTTGTGGAAAGCCTTCCTAGAAGAGTGAAGACTGTTATTGCCCCAAAGTGGGTGGGCGGTTGGGGGGGCACACATTATCCATGGTTTGGGAATGTATGTCCAACTAACTCATATACAGGTGTGATCCTGAAAGCAAATGTGGTTCTTATTATGTCCTCAGGTTCCACGGACTTGCCTGAGCCTTTGGTCACATAATCTGAAATAGCAGTTTCTGTAAAAGTGTTTTGGGGCTGTTGTTACCATTTATAACTTTTAGGATATGGAGGGTTATGTATAGAATATGGAGGGTTATGTTTATGACCTTTTTTTGTAAAAAAAACTACATATTGACTACTGGTAAGTAAAAATATCTACCTTCTGACGTTGTTTATCCGCATTATGCCTTGGTGCACCTGTTCTTTGAATTTCCAGTGGTCGGATATATGGGCCATGTCGCACTAGTGATTTTATGGCCGGCTAAAATTCTCTTGTTTTAAAATAGTTACGTGCCCACTTGCTTTCTCCTATGGTATTGCTACCTCGCTTACTGGATTAGTGAGATGTCAGCCCATTGCTGTTCACTCACTTGGAATTGAGGTTCTGCATTGTGACCAATGAGGGAGCGACATGCATTGGGTAAAGCAGAGACTTACTTTGGTAAATTACTAGTGCGACATCAGTCTATGAATAGAAAAAAACCTGTAGCTTTTACCACCATGTACAGATGCTGGCAATATTTAGGCGTTGCATACACATACTTATTTTAAATCGGGAACCCAGGCATTGAAATCTCTGTGCTTGCTCTTTAAGGTTGGCCCACTGTACTAGGAACTAGAGTTGGTGTCACTATCCCTGTGTAAATGCCATTCATTTTACATTCTGGAAATCTCGATAGGAGGACAAGGTAGCCTCTGGAAAGTTAAGAAGCCATAAAGTTATATTACATACCACGGCTAACATATACACGTTTTAGGTGAACTGCCCTTTTTAGCCCTCTATATAATCTCAAAGCCCCTAGAAAATATATCAAAATTTTGTATATATTATTTTGTATATACAAATATTGTATTACGCAACATTTGTTTTATTAACTGCTGATGGGCAACTTATTTGGCATTTATAAATGATACAAATCATCCACAAGTTTTCTGTAAAGCTTCTACACAAAACATCCACAAAGGACCATCAATACGTCCATTATAAGAATGACATGCCTAGGGTCCCTTCGGACCTATGACATGCGGTCAAACGTGTATTTTACTGCAACGCTGATAATGCACAGAACATTTGTGGTGCCAGTCATTTTAGAATGGTAACTCGATGTACAGTAATAGTAGGTGACAATCGACCCAGGCCTAATGTGTATGCAGTAACGCTCTGAAGGGGGCCTCAAAGGAGGAACCTTGTGCGACCCCAAGAAAATCATAATTTCTTGTAACTGTTATCAAATAGTTTGTTCAGTGGATCAGTGTGTAGGCTGCAAGTATTGACCGCTATCAAGGTGTGTGATATGAAGCATTAGGCATGATTCTGTATTTTACAATGCAACCATGTTTTATATTAGATTAGTGTGCCAATGTGTTAGGTACAAGATTCCAAATCATAAGGCTTCAGAATGGATTTCTGCCATGTTGTTTTTATTATGGGTTAGTAGGATTCGGTTTTGAAATTTTTACATATAGTAGGTTTGCAACTATTTTTATATGTTGGAACCGCATATACAAGTGAGGAACAAAGCAGTATATGCCTAAAGAGTGAAATTCCAGCCATAGCTTTTTTTTCAGATTTGGATAGAGTTGGGAAAGGTTAGAACCTCTGTCATGGTTTTTATTGCTGTCTGTGTATTTGTTGTGGACATGTCATCATGACAAAGTGTGAAGTAATCCAAAATTTTACAGCCGTCACCGAAAAAGGAAGTGAGCAGAAATCTTCCAAAGGGGTAGCTGTCAAAGGTCAATCCCATAGTATCTTTGAAGAACTGAAATGACCGATCAGGTCAAAATTCCAAAGACAAATTATGAATGCCAACTGGTGCCTTCTGTACAGCCTGGGCTTTTTTCACTTACAGTGTCAAGTTGGCATTCACTTTAGGCATATGCTTTTTTTTAAATACAGCCCTGATTATATATATATATATAAGAACATACTAATCGTACTACTACTAATAGTAATACTACTACTCCCAGGTATGTAGGCCTTTAGAAACAATGGAGATTTTATTTAGTCCTAATAACAATTGTTTCCAGCTGTGTACCGATCTTTCTGAAGACTTTAATGTCATAATGTCCTCCCCTTATCCTTTAAAAAGGGTTGAGTGCATTAGACTGGTGATGCCCAGACTGGTATCTCTGACAGGTGCCAGAAAGCAAATTATAAGAAATGTTCTCCATGCATGGACATTTTAGTTTTTTGGATCTGATATGCAATTGTGAATTATTCTGTAAGGATTTGGAGTACAAGCCAAACAGAACCCAGATCCTATACACTTGATCACTGGTACCTTTTATGAACAGCAAGAACTTCTTGCAATGTCCACCAGCAGCAGCTTATTCCTAGCTCTAAAGGGCACTTTTTCAGCACATGAGCCCCCTCCTAAGATACTCCACACAGGCAGCCATCTTTCTGCTATGCTCTCTCTGGATGTACCATGACCGCAACAGTCTTTCAGGCCCTAAGGCCAAGTTTTGTTTCCTTAGGCCAGAACTCGGGCCATTCTTTCAGCAAGACCTTCATTGGGCAGCAGGCCTGGGAGGCACAAACTTCTATCACAACCTCTTCTACAGGCCACAGCTCAGGAGAACGGCTCCTTTTACACCGACATCCTCTCCAGGCCAAGACTGGAAGGCACAGAACCTTCCATGTGGTCTCCCCGCATATTTATTGCCTCCCTAATCATGCAGAACTGGAAGTAAACCTCTTAGTGATTGGCCAGGGAGAAACAAATATTCATAACTCACTTATCTTCTTTCTGGAAAAACACTCCATGGCAACAGACAGAAGTAAACAATAGTGTGAGCTTGGGGAAACCCCACAACTGCAAAAACAATACCAATTAGAGAACAGCTAGGCTCTAAGTTTAGACTAGGGACATTGCCTATGGCAGGGTCCCTACACCTAAAAGCATAGTGCCTTTGACTTTCTTCCCATGACTGTTACTCATGTACACAAACCCATATTCCAGTCAGCTATATTCTACTAGCTTCATATCATGTGATCCAAATGTTGTTTTTGGAATACTAGATTTCTGCAAGCGAAGTCTGGGTATAATTGCATGAGAATTGCTGTGTATATCATGGCTAAATACATTACAGACGTTTTCATTAAAATAAAAGGTGCATTACAATAAAAAATGGTCTTGGGGAGTTTGCACTGTCCTATTGCAGTAACATGCGCACATTGTGTGTTGCTGCAGTTTTTGTTTATTTGACATGGCACCCAATGCACTACATTGGTGTAATGCATGGCAATACACTACCATGCTGATTACACTTGGTAGTGTAATGCATGGCAATACACTACCATGCATTCCTAAAAAAGGGTCAAATGTGGTTTAGCAGCACTGGGGTGCCTCGGCAGCTTATTTAAAATAAATAGGCTGTCCTAATGTGAAGCGTAATAGCTTAACATTTATTACAACGCGTGTTGTAATAAATATTAACATACCAGACAGTTGTGAACTCCTTTTCTTTAGAAAGCAGCCACAGTCTGAGTAGAAAGCAATGCTATCAGCATACTTCAGGGAAGGCCCTTGGTCTATGCGTGGAAGTAGTGGCGTCTCTGCAGAGGTCCAACACACCCTCCGCTTAGTCACAGCTTGATAGACACTCAGTGAAACTTGTTTTTATCCTGCACTTGGCCCCTAGTAGCTCACTGGGTGGACATAGGTCATAATTCATTAATGTTATTTTTAAGTTATGTGTGCAAAGGTTGCATGGGCTGCACTATGGCAGTAAATGGAATGAGCATACGTATTATATTTATAATATATCTGAAAATGCAGGTAGTGGTTTAACAAAATAACTTGCTCTCATAGAAGCCAAATGCTTGTGTAGGTCATCTGCTGCTGTTGAAGTAGCTAATGAGTGGACTTTATAAAATCCAGCAAAGCCATTTCTAGTACCATTCCCCCCCTCAGCAAGCAAGCTCTCATTCTGTAACCTGCTAGTGATTGCTAGGATTTGATTAGTTGGTCCTGCTTCATAAATGAAGCCTGTTTGCTCGTTTTCCTGTACTTGAAAATGTGAGTGCTCATTTGCATCAAGTGATATTACCAGGAACTAATCAAATTATTCTGTTACATTTCAGGTTTGATGACATGGATATGCCATCCGCTGTGAAATATTTAATGGCATCTGATGCCAACCTCCAGGTGCTAGGAGCAGCCTTTATACAACACCGTTGTTACAATGATGCAGAAGCTAAGAAGCAGGTGAGTGTTTTGTTTACTTGGTAAGTTTCCCTATAATTAGTGTGAATCAAAATGGCTTCTAACCTGTCATTGGTTTTAAAGTGAGAATACTCCCAGCAACTTTATATTGCTTGTATTTTTTAGGCTCGAAGTTTGCAGGCCATTCCTAAGCTGGTGAAATTGTTCAATCACCCCAACCAAGAGGTCCAGCGTCATGCCACAGGAGCAATGCGCAATCTGATCTATGACAGCCCTGATAACAAGATGGCATTGGTGGAGGAAAATGGCATTTATGAGCTTCTATTGGCACTTAAAGAGCAAGATGATGAACTCAGAAAAAATGTAACCGGTATGCCTTGTGTATTTTCTTTTAATTGTTGCAAAGAATTTACCATGCTCAATATTAGGCAGGATAATAATTTGTGAGACATGTTTTTTTCTCCCATTGGACACCACTAGCTTGTGTCTTGCTCAACTCAAAGAAGGTTAAGTCAAGCTGTGAATTGCAGCCCTCGGATCAGGAACACTTCTGTCATTCCTGTAGTAATCACAGTCACCGTTCTTAGTGCTGGGACAAGTTTTAACACCCAAGGGAAAAGTGCACCCACCTCTACCTATCCCCCACCTGATTTGACTAGTCCAGTGTTTCTCAACCTTTTTTTTTCAGTCATGGCACCTTTTAAAAGTATGCAAAATCCTGAGGCAACCCAGTCTAAAATGTAATGGGGACCCCATGCCAAAACACAAGAGGGATTCCTCCTTCACATCGAAGCCCACCCTTCAAATCAGA